TAATTTTTCGGCCAAAGTCCTAGGCTTTAAACACTTTAAAAGTATGTTTTCATTTTGATCAGCCATAACTAGGCTATTTGATTACAGTAAAATAATAACCTTTGAAATCCTCCTCTACAAAAACTCTCATAGCTTAAAAGTGATTTTGTACTTCCATTAAATGCCAAATTGCAGCTTCTTAAACTGCTTAATCAGTTTCTAATCAATTTAGCTCTTGTTCCTGAAGCAGCCTGTCAGTGCTGAAATTGGAATTAAGAATCAGGATAATTCAAGCTGGCACAGATTTTGGGAGTAATAACCTTTGAAATCCTCCTCTACAAAAACTCTCATAGCTTAAAAGTGATTTTGTACTTCCATTAAATGCCAAATTGCAGCTTCTTAAACTGCTTAATCAGTTTCTAATCAATTTAGCTCTTGTTCCTGAAGCAGCCTGTCAGTGCTGAAATTGGAATTAAGAATCAGGATAATTCAAGCTGGCACAGATTTTGGGAGGTCTGCATCCCAGCTTTCTGCTTTATATAGCCATCAGATCAGATCAGATCAGATCAGGTTCCTTAGGGTTTTATCCAGCCTGATCTTGAAAACTCGGAAGGATGGAGACAGCACAGCATCTCTGGGGCCCCTCTCAACTGCTTTACTGTTCTCATTGGGAAAAGTTTTTCATTTGTCAAATCAGAAAAGAAGTTCATGTTCTTGTTTATTTTAGCAGAACTCTCTGGCTGTCTTCTCATTTCAAACTATAGACCTGATGAAGAAATCACATGGTGATGTTCTCTGGCCTGTGTTATGCTGGAGGTCAGATTAGAATAAATGAAATAATCTCCTGTGGCCTTAAATATCTGGATATCTTTCCCAGCAACTCTTACAACAGAAAATAACATTCCATTCACTGAAAATCCAAACAAGACAGAATTACTCCCAATTAAGGCTGCAATGATGAGGAGAAAAAAATCTAAGCAACTGAATTTGTCTTGTTTGGGAATCAGGGCCTGAAGGGAGCACAGCAGTAGAGAGCTGCTTGCTTTCTTAGCTCCTTTTCTGACACTGCCCAAACACATATGGTGAAAGCTGACAATTGCAGTTCACCAAAAACTGCAGCTGTCGCAAGGATCTGCTGCTTTCTGCTCCAAATGATTTCTTCAGCCTGTTTACCAAAAAGCACAGGGGTTTGGGGGGAAGGTACTTTTGAGGCTATGGAGTGTTTAAGTTGTCCATATGAGCCTGGGAAATATATCCCTTGAAAGGTGTTTAAATAGTGAGATTACTAGGTGCCTGGAAGAGCAACTAGTATTTACTGAAGAAAAAGAGTTTACCTTACAGCTAAATAAAACTCCAGCACACTACAAAAATTCATGCTGGGGACTAATATGGATAGCTTCAACAGAGTGGCCTGAGCAGGCATACAGAGTGAACTCTCCTCCGCTCTGTTCCTGCATTCCCATTCAGTGAGTGCTGAGATAGGTCAGGGTGTATCTGTGGTTACATACAGATCTTGTTTCCAGAGCTGTCAGCCTCCCACATGCCTTAAATCCACTCAAAATGGATAAAGGAAAATGAGAATAATGGAAATGAGAAGAAGGACATAATCATGTCTAAAATCCTTTACAGGCTGTGAGGCCATTTTACAAAGACAGTCCTTAAAGCTTTCCTATACAAAGAAATTGTCCTAATATTCAGCACCTGTTTTTGTCACCTGCACGCAATTCTTGACAGCTCTTCTGTTCCCATACCAGACCCCTTTTCTCCTGCCATCCAGTTTAGTATTAGTAGGAGAGTGGCTGGAGGAAGAGGCTCTTTACCAGCAAATTAATAGACCAGAATGACTGGAGAAAGCAGAGAAGAAATAGCACCAGACCACAGGAAGTACAGAGACTGGTGCGTGGCCAGAGGTCATTGTGCCAATGTAAACACCAAAAGGGTTAAATATAACATTCATAGCAATTTATAACTCAACTGCATGGAACACCAACACCACAAAAAAAAAAAAAAAAAAAAAAAGCCCACCAAACCTGGCTATCCCTATCCTGAAATGATTTTCCTTGAAAGGAGCTCCTCAGTGAAAGCTGCGCTTAATCACAGTTCTTGAAATCACTTTTTAGATAGTTTGCATGAGATGTGTTAAATGAAAGAAGACCAGTTTAATAGAATTAAGCTAAGGAAAATATGTTCAAGTTTCTGTGGACAGCTCCTATGAATCCCACTCTACCTCTTCACCAAACTCATTTGCTAATGGAAAGGTCAGCCCAAATCCCATCCACTGGGCATACACTTTTTCCAGAACAATTCTCTTCAGACCACATGCTACAAAGACTCAAAGACATAAATTAATCTCTTTAAGTTACAGCCACTCAATGCTTTAAAACTGTTGTACTATTAGTAAGGACATACCTAAGCCTGTTTTGTTTTAACATCTCAGCATATCATCTTTCAAGATCTATTTCAACTGCTTTGAAGAATGAACAATCTTCATTTTCACTGTCATTAATTTCTCTGAATGAAAACAGAGATTTTCATCCA